GGCACGTTTTGAGGCAATCACGAGACCGTGCCATGCCTGGGGCATGGTGCTGGTGTGTGTTTGATCACCACCGTTATATTTACAAGGGAATCTCAGCTTTCATTAGGAATTAACAAGGCCCAGACACCACCACTGCACGCAGACACCTACGCAGCAGAGGATGCTGTGCCTGTACTTTCTGCAGGAACAGCGTGTCCAGGACATTTCCGTCTGGCAGGAGGTGCAGAAGGATACAGGGCTGCCAGAGCGTGGCCGCTTCCCAACAGCGTCAGCCTAAATTTCAGTAAGTACACAGAGACCAGCAGTCACGACTAGGAGCCTGCCTTCAAAACATGGACTGCTTGCGTGACCCCAGTGCGTACAGTGTCACTGGGGAGCTGCAGGCGTGGCGTGCTGTGCCATGAGGATGGCTTCCCCATGTCCCAAAGCACATGGAGGATGAGAGCCTGGCTGTTACTAGAGGTGGAAAAGGAGCCAGGCAGGCTGCAAGGTTGGCTTTCTGTCCCCCACCAGCTGCTTGGCGAACCGCAGGGGTGGGATGCGCAGGTTCGCTTGGTGCAGACGGGCGGTGCGGGTGTTTTGGGAGGGTGGGTTGCAGCCCTCCAGAGAAGCCCCATGCGCGGAAGCTCACCGCAACCTGCTTCGGGCGGACGATGCTCAAGTCCCCGTGTCCCCTCCCCTTGGCCCCAGCCTTCCCCCCCCCCCCCCCCCCCCGCCCCGGGTCAGGGCTCGCCCTTTTCCATGAAGGCATCTTGAGCCCCCGGGCTGGGGGCGGGCTGCGGGGACCCTCCCGCCGCAGGTGGGAAGCACCGCCCGGGGCGGCCCCGGTCCCGCCCCGCCGCCCGTTCGGCCCCGCCCGGGGGCCCGTCCCGCCGCGGAGGGAAGGAGGGAGGGAGGACCGGGGGGAAAGGAGGGAGGATAGGGGGGAAAGAAGGGAGGACCGGAGGGAGGGAGGGCGGACGGACGGACGGACGGACGGACAGACAGAGGGACAGACAGACAGACCGGGGCGGGAGCCCGGCCCGGCCCCGCCCGCGCCCGCCGCGCCGCACCTGAGCGAGCAGCGGCGGCTCCGCGCCGGCCCCGGCCCCGGCCCCGGCCCCGGCCCCGGCCCCGGCCCCCTCCGCCGCCCGTCCATGGCTCTGCCGCTGCTGCTCTGCCTGGCCGCGCTGGGCGCCGGCTGCCGGGCAGGGACCCCCCCCGCCGGCACGGCCGGGCCCTCCGCCGAGCCGCTACAGGACGAGGCGGACAACCAGGAGAACATCCTCTCCCAGGTAGGGGAGCGGGGGGGGTGCTGGGCACCCGCGGCGTGGGGCTGGGCAGTGCCGGAGGGAAGCTGGGCGCACCCCGGGGGGGATGCTGGGCGCAGCCGGGGGAAGCTGGGCGCACCCTGGAGGGTGCAGGGCACAGCCGGGAGGGTGCAGGGCGCACCCCGGGGGTGATGCTGGGCGCACCCTAGGGGGTGCAGGGCGCCTCGGGGGGTGCTGGGCGCACCCCGGGGTGATGCTGGGCGCACCCCGGGGTGTGCTGGGCGCACCCCGGGGAGGATGGGCGACCCCCGGGGAGGATGCTGGCGCACCCTGGGGGGTGCAGGGCACCCGCGGCATGGGGCTGGGCAGTGCCGGAGGGGATGCTGGGCGCACCCCGGGGGGTGAAGCTGGGCGCACCCTGGGGGGTGCAGGGCGCCTCGGGGGGTGCAGGGCACCCGCGGCGTGGGGGCTGGGCAGTGCTGGAGGGATGCTGGCGCACCCCGGGGGGGGATGCTGGGCGCAGCCGGGGGGGAAGCTGGGCGCACCCTGGGGAGTGCAGGGCACAGCCGGGGGTGATGCTGGGCGCACCCCGGGGGTGATGCTGGGCGCACCCCGGGGAGGATGCTGGGCGCACCCTGGGGGGTGCAGGGCACCCGCGGCGTGGGGCTGGGCAGTGCCGGAGGGATGCTGGGCGCACCCTGGGAGGTGCTGGGTGTACACGCTCGGCGGTGCGGGGGGGATGCTGTGCACACCCAGGGAGTGCAGCGCCCGGGGTGCCGTGAGCTCCCGGAGCCCGGCGGGGAGCAGCTCGCAGCCTCCATCCTGTCCTTTCCCTGGGCGGGGGGGGGGGGCGGTTCGAGAAACAGGGAGCTCCTTGGGAGGGGAATTGGTGGAGCCTCTTTTGTGTGCAGACGGGAGGGAATCCAGGCTCTTTCCCCACCAGTGGGATGCGGTGGAGGTTTCTGTGAGATTTGGCCGATCGGGCTGTGTGCTATTATCTGCCCTCGGAAATGGCTAACGTGGAGACTATTGGAAACATACCGTCAAAGTTATTTTTGTGCTTGGGCTTTCAGAAGTGCTGTCTGCAAATCTCTGTAAAGGAAATTCCTGGCATTGTATGGGGCTAATCAGAAATACTGTTTCACCACCAGGTTATGCTGCTTATAGGGTGGCTTTCAGTCACCCTTCCAGACCACCCTTACCCTGTTTGCCCGTGTAAAGAAATCTTGCTCAGGGCAGCAGGTGACTTATTGGGTCTACTGGACATGGAGCATTAAAAGACAGCAGGATGGTGTTTGCATTTAAAATTATCATATTTAAAATTCAAAGCGTCAAGGTCCATTTTATGTAAAGTAGGATAAAAAATACCCCGATGGAAGAAGCCGGTTTTCATTCCCCTTGTAGGTAGGGATCAGAAGGCTCTGTGCTCTCTAGAAAACTTCTTGGTCAGCAGATTTTGGAAGAGCCGGCCAGTTTCCTCGAGGTTCAGGGTGTCCGATGCGTTCCTGTGTGTATCTCAGGGACCAGGGTGTCCCTGTCCCTTGCTGGGCAAGCGGAGGACATGAAGTTTGCTAACTGCTGGTGACCTGTGCTCAGCTGTTAGGTGACTACGACAAGGTGAAGGCGGTGTCCGAAGGCTCCGACTGCCGGTGCAAATGCCTGGTCAGACCCCTGGGCCGCGGCGCCTGCCAAAGGATTAACGAGGGCGCTTTCAAAGCGGAGGATTTTTACACGGTGGAAACCATCACGTCAGGACCCAGCTGCAAGTGTGCGTGCGTGGCCCCCCCCTCGGCGCTCAATCCTTGCGAGGGGGACTTCAGGCTGAAGAAGCTGCGGGAGGCGGAGAGCAGCGACCTGAAGGTAGGGAGAGTGGTTTGAATTCAGGATTCTTTTGGGAGGGGGAGATCTTCTTGAAGCCTTTCCTTTTGGGGCTTTTTCTAAAAAACTTTTTTTTGCTAAAACGTCCCCTAGTTACTTTTATATCTGCATGTTTGATATAAAAGTCAAGCTCAGCTTAAGGGGTTGATTTGAGCAGCTGCAGTCGATGATTCACTCGATTCACCCCATGCTGCCTGGGGTCTGCCGTGGCTGCCTGCACTGGAACCCCAGGAGGGACTGGACTGCTCCCTGCCCTTTGTCCAGCACTAAACGTCCCCAGGGAGCAGTTCTGTTCCTCTCAGCAGCTGCCAGGTCTTTTTCCCGTCACAGAGAGGGGCTCCCAAGGACCCACGCAAAAAGCTGTTCGGCTTCCATGGGCCAAAAGCTGCCGATGCGTCAGCGTGAGGGTGTGCTACACAGCTGGCTGATGGATTTTGTTGTTTTAAATGATGATGCTTCTAAACTATTTAGTATTTTATCTCTTTAGGAATATGTACCTCTCTTCCAAACGTGACGGTGTTTGTTCTAAGGACTCGTGACTTTTACTGGATGCTTACTTTTGCTGGTCTAGCAGCTGGCAGCAGACCCTGCGGAGTTTTTCAGTTTGTTCTGTTGGTAGGGCAGCAGAAATCCTCCCCAAAGGGTCACTGGCTTGGTCCAGCCCTGGGGAGTCCCCAGAAATAGAAGGTGGAGTGCTGGTGGCACCCCTGTGGGTGGTGATGGGATGTACCCCGGGGCAGTGCTGCTAGTCCCAGCTCAGGTGGGAAGGCAGGCGGGGGGCTGGGGGGCAGCCTGTGCCGGGGCCACCGCCATGGCTTTGTTCTAATTAATTTGGAGCTCAAGGATGTGTTTCATCTTGTCCGACTGCAGACAGTTAGCAGCTTCTTGTCCAAGCTCCCCTGCAGGTAGAGAAGATAAACAGGCACAGGCAGACAATCCATCATTTCAGGGAAGAAGGAGTCTCAGTCTGGAGTTGTTTGGCGGTCCCTCGTCTGCAGGAGAAGCCAGGACGTCCTGCTTGGCCTTAGATGAGGAGCTGTGAGCTCTCTGGGGTTAGGGGAGGGGACAGAGCCACTCCAGCAGTCAGTCCCTTGCCTGGAGGCAGGCGGAGCTCCTCCGCCACCCCTCTCCCTGTCCCTGTCCCTGCCGGGGCCGGGCAGGCTGCAGAAGGAGCGGAGCGGTGTGGCTAGCTGTGCCTTGGCTCCCGCTGCCTCTTCCCAACCGGGGAGCTGCTCACAGCCAGCTGTGGTGTGAGAGCTTGTCCTCTAGGAACTGGCCCAGGCTCCCCTGCTCATTTCGCAAGGATCTATGGCCAAATGATTTCACAAGGTTTATCCAAATATATGCACGTGGGTTTTTTTTTTTTCTTTGCAGCGAAAGTCAAGCCCCAGGAGCTGTGAAAAGAGGCTTGCCTTCTCGGTGAGCACAGAGCCCCTCCTGGAGTCGGGCTGGCTGGGAACAGCCACCTCTCGTAGGAGAAGCTGGGGAAGCAGGAGAGGACACAGCTCCAGTTCTTACGTGACTGGTGAGGAGCAGCTCCCATGCTCATCGGGAGTGAGGGGGGCTGGGAGGGCCGGGCCAGGCCACCCCTTTGCTCCTAACAGCCCCAGGGGTTTTACTCTCCTTGTTGGTCCGATGAGCATCGTTCTTGCCCAACCCGGCAGTGGGAAGCACATAGAGTCGTTCCCTATGTCTGTTGTGTTTTATCAGGCTTTTTTATGCTCTGACTCAAAAGCCCTGGGTACTCCCCCTGTGGGAGAGCCATGGCAAGTTCCCTAAAATGAGACCCCTTCCTTATGATGGGTGGGCTGGAGGATGTGTCCCTGAGGGAATGGAGAGGAAGGGAGTAGATAAGCCCAGGCAGCAGGAACATACCCCCTGGGGCACCCCAACTCAGTCTCATGGCTGCGCTGGGCATCCTAGCTGAAGGTTTCAGTCCCATCTGTGCCTTTAATAATGTCCTGTGGAAATTCATGGACCATCAGATCATCTAAGTCCACAGCAGGTGAAGGGAAAAAGCCAGCAAGGTGGTGTGTGCATTGGTATGGTCTTTTGGGGAGGGTCAACTTGGTGTTGGCAGGGAGGTAGCTAAATCTAAGATCTATTTTTGTGAAATCGCAGCATGCTGCTCCTCTGCTTGTAGGCACAGATGTGTTTTGGGGTGGCTTGGGTGCAGAGTCCATGTAAGGAGCCTGTTCAGGAAGTTTTGGGAGGTGGTTAATAAAGTCTGCAACCTTTGTGCATTGATGGAAATTATCCAGCCTGGAGGGAAAGCGCCTGTCTCCAGTGGCTGTCTGGCAGGTTGCGTGCATTGTATCGGTTGTCTCCGTCCAGTTCTTGGTGGAAAGTGGATGCCTAGCCATAAAACAGTCCTTGTCTCTTAATGCTCCCATTTTATCTGGCCCCAAAAAATCTTTCCTTTGCTGTCAGCTCTGCAGGGAGACTGCAGAGGCCGGGGTGGAAACTCAGAGTGCTGCCAGCAGCGCTGCCTGTACTTCTCCCATGTTTATGGAGCTCTGTTGACCAGTTTGTAGCTGCTGGGAGAAAATGTCACCTCCTTGTAGTAATTCCCATCATTGAAAATACTTCTTAGCCTTCAAGGCTGTAAGGTCTGCAGTGCTGTGGGGACATGTGGGACCGGAGGGAGCAGACACATGGGATCTGAGGCTGGGAATGGCCTGGGAGCCCTTCTCACCAGCTCATTCCTTGCTCAGCGCTGTCCTCTGCGGAGCAAGCACCAGGAACTGTACAAATTGCAGAGTGAGGGTATTGCTGCCTGGATCCCTATGGTCTGTGAGCAAGGGCTGATGCTGGGCAGGGCGTGGGGACACAACCCTTCCCACTGCGGGAAGGGGGTGAGTTAAATGTAGGGCGTCTCTGAAATGGGTGGTTGAAGGAGAAGGCATCATCCCTCTGATAAAGTTGTTCTCCAGGGAAGCAAACTGTTACCAGGCTGGCACTGAGTTTCAGTTGCTTCACTCTTGCATTTGTGAACATTTTAAAAATTTTTAACAAGTTTCTTCTTGTTCCAGGAAAAAAAGCGCAGGATGGCACGAACTCAGAGGCTGATCTCAAACTCACTTTTATTTGAGCTGCTGTTCTCTTGTTGCCTGTTTTGCTGCCAGTCACGTCACTGATGGAGTAGCTAAGCCTCTGGACTTGTGAGAGAGCCTGCCTAGAGCTGGCAAGGAGGGCAGTGCTTCTCCTTGCTCTCCTTACTAATCCCCAGCACCCAAAACAAGCTCCCGTAGCCCTGAAGCTCTGTGGAGGTGGTGTGCGTTGCTCTGCATGCTGTGCTCTGACCATGGCAGCAGTACGGCAGGGCTGTGTAAGGAAAAACTTGCTTTTTAAATAAATTTCTTGCACTCAGATGTGTACATTGCCGTTGACTTCCAGGTGTAGCAACCACACAGGGTACTTTATAGCAAGTGGCTCTGACTGACGGTGCGCTCCCTTTGCCTTGCAGCTGTCCTCCATCGTTGAGATGCTGGAAAGTGCCTTTTATGGCTTAGACCTTCTGAAGCTGCACTCGGTCACAACCAAGCTGGTGGGTCGGGTGGAAAAGCTCGAGGAGGTAAGATGAGTCCTGCTCTCCTTCAGAGTTGTTGCCTTCAGCAGGACTTGCCTCAAAACAAGTTCTTGGTACCTTTGGTGTGTTCAGAGCCTCGTTCCTTTTGGAAGAAATGTTAATCAACTCTTTGGCTGAAACTAAACTTGACCAGACTAGACTGCCCACCGTTCCTCATGGGCTGTGCCCAGCGCAACACCACCCCATCAGCCTCCCCTGACCCTCTCCAGTTCCCCCCATCCCTCGTGGCCCAAACTGGGTGCAGCATCCCAGCTGAAGCCTCACCAGGACCAGCATCTTCTTGGGGTCAGAAGGGCCTGCTGTTATGTTTTTCCTCTTCCGTTCTACATCTGTGCTGGTGTGATATTTGCTCTCAACAGGATGCTTTTGTGCTGTTTGATGTGGGGACAAGAGGTTTGGGACTGGTGCTGGGGTATGCTCATCAGGACTACTGGTAGCCAAGGAGGTCAGATTCCTTCAGGACAGTTTCATCTTGGCCTGCGTTAAAAAAGAGCTGAACCCTCAACACTGCTAAAAAGATAAAGTACTTTCCTTTTTTTTTTTTTTTTTAGAGCAGACTTCCAGTGAAATAATTTTCACTTCTATACAGTTTAATATTTCTTTGGCTAGCACAGCGTAGGGTTTGCAGTTTGTTAAGCTGCGCTCAGCTATGTAGCAACAGGTTGCCAGATTAAATACTGGAGTTTTCTCCCGTGGTCCATATCTGGGACAGTAATTCCACATTCTTGTCGGAGCAGAGCAGTCCTGTTTGCAGCCAGGAGCTGAGAGGCAATGATTTATAAAGCCAAAATTCCACTTGAAAAGTGTTTCAGGAAGGCATGGCATGCTCCATCCCGAGGTCAAGGAGGAGACAGCCGAGAGGAGCACCCTTGCCTTGGGGAGCTCTGGGTTTCCAAGCATGGTGATTGACCCAAAAGGGGGAAAAGGGGTTTTGAGGTCTAAAAATAACAAAGAACCAATGTTTTTGTTTGCAATCCCGCCCTCTTCCTGTGGTTTAGTGTATTCCCTGGTTGTTACTTGGGTTTGCTGCTGAGCCTCTGCTAATTAAGGGAGAGGAGCGAGGGAAGTGGGAGCTGTGCTGCCAGCCCTATGCCACGCATCCCCGCTGGGGACCCTCGCCCCCGCGGCACTGGTAGCCACAGGTCTGGTGGTGGGGTGAGCTCCATCCCACGGTGTGGTGAGCGGGGCTCACCCAGAGCAGGGGATGCCACGGTGAACACAAAGGGCCCCATCAGGACAGATGGATGGTCTGTTGTTACTTAACATCCATAGTTAGCTGGATCAGGGATGATGGAGGGGACAAGACTTTTTTTGGTATCATTTATGGGTCTGTGGTCCAATACTCTGTCTCACCCTCAAACTAGTTGACTGGGTGGTGCTGTTAGACATTATCACCTTTAAAGGGCTCAGACCAGAGTGACACAGGCTGTCGGGTCAGTGAGTGGGGAGGGCAGGTTTCTCAAAAACCTTCTTGATGGTTGAGTTGGAGCCTAAGGCAAGGTAAGAGTTAGAGGTTTGGGTACTGACAAATGACACAAGTGACTACTTCATGTGCAGGTACCACTACGTTGTTCTTGGGTACTGAAGTGGCCCTGCCTCCCAGCCCCTTCCTGCACAGGGGGTTCAGCTCAAGCGGTGCTGGTGGCATTTGTCTGTCTGGGCACATCGGGGTGACCTTGCAGCATGGCTGCTCTGCTCACAGCCTGTCACAGTGAGGCAGATGGGCAGAAGTAGTCTGGTCTGGCTGAAGTAGTTTGGCCAGAGATGGAGGACTGAAGGTGTTGGAGGGAGGAATTCACAAATTTCAGTCTTTTAATTTCCCAGAAGTGGGGCTGTAGAATCATGTAACAAGCAGCTGAAGCTGCCTACAGGCACTCAAAGGGGATGGAGGACAGGAGAGGTCTGAGTTAGATGAAGATTCCCCGGCGCTGCTGGGGCAGGGCAGAGCTGGTGCAGGCAGCAGGTGTGAAATGCTTCCTGCTGCTGGCTTAACATGTAAATTCCTCCTGAAAGGAGTACTGCACCCGGCATCAGCCACAGGATCTGATACATCGGACAGCTGAGATGCTGAACAAGAGCCTGGCATCACTTCAAAGCATTGGCCTCCCAGGCGGGTGTGCTTTTGGCAGCTGCTCCCTGGCGAAGCAGCTGAGTGGCCTCAAGCAGCATCACAGGCTGGGAGTTGATGCTTCCCCACTCAAGGGGAGACAGATTTTGTCCCTAAGCAGGTTATAAGCCAAACATTAGACAGAACAGTGATAAGGGCACATGGCTGTCAGAATCGGTCATCCTCCCAAAAGGAGGACAGTGTCAAAGCTGCTTCTGCTCCTAGGAGAGCATCATGAGATCCCCTGCACCTTTTCTTACTGCAGCAAAAAGTTTGCCTAAAAGTCCCTGGGTTATTGGGCTCAGCCTCCAAGTCGCGTGATAAATCTGTGACTCACGATTCCTGGGTAAAGACTGGGTGTTCAGATGCCCATGGAGGTGGCTGGGGGTTAACTGAGCTCCGGATGGTATCAAGAGCGTATCACGAGTTGTTTCCAGTATAACAAGATATTTTATGCAAATAACATCAGTCAGGGGAATGAACGCCCAGATACTTGGTCCGCAGAGCTAGCGCCTTCTCTAGCAAGGCAGCTTCTCTGCTTTGTCTTTAGCTTGCAGCTGTTGTATCAGCTGGCGATTTTGAGGTTGCAGATGGAGGTCATGGTGGGTTTTAGGAGAAATTAATGGCAGGACAGATTGAAAATGAAGGATTGGGGGAACCGACCCCCCTCCTCTGTGCAAAAATGCTTTGACTGATGTGCCATCTATTCAAAGCAGTTGCCATCTAAGATGTAAAAGGCCAAGAATCTGGGATGTGCACACTAGGGATGGAGTTTCTAGATCCCACTGGCGTCAGGGGCACCTTCTTAGCAGCTGAAGTGCACAGCTCCATGGGGAAGCCTGGATGTGAGCCCGGAATGGGAGCACAGAGCTTGCTGGCTCCTGAGCTGTGGTTTGGGAGCCATGGAGCTTTCCTTGTCTTCACGTGGGGTAAAGTCTCCTCTCTTGCTTTTCTAGGGCATGTCCAGGAACTTCACGCAGGAAGGCTACCGGGCAGGAGCCAACGTGGCGGAGGGTCCGCAGGATGCCCACCGCAGGGACAGGGAGAACTGCTCCAGCCTCATCACCAACAGCCTTGCCGACATTGAGAGCTCGCTGCAGCGGGACGCCGAGGCTGCCTACACGCACGCAGAGGTATGACCACCCAAATGGGTTGCATGGCTCGAGGTCTCTGCTGCCCTGGAAGCCAGCCCAGAGGGTGTCTCCTGGATGTGGCCCCCCAGCAGGCCACCGGCCCGGGGTTATTTTCTTCTCGGTTCGGCCGACCCTGTTTCCATGCCTCCGGCTCCAGCCTGCTTCTCTCGGCACGGCCCTGCTGCCGCCGGGATGTAGGAGGGACCAGGAGCAGGCTGCTCCCTGGGCCTCCCCCCTTCCCGTGTGGTTGTTGGTTTTCGAGGTCAGCAGCGGCCGTGCTGCTCGGAAAGAGTGATGTCATTGCGGGGCTGGCTGGGAAATGCTGGGAAACTCGGAGCCTTTGATTAGCAGGGCTTGGGGGCTTGGTGGAGGGACAGCCTGTCGTCCTCCCTCCCGGACAATTACCCCTCCCCAGCCAGCCCCTGCGCCTGGCAGGCTCCAGGCAGAGTCTTGGGCATCCCGCTGGCTCCAGCGCCCATCCCCAGGCTGCTGCGGTCCCTGTGGGGTCTGCTCAGCGTGGGCACGTCCTCTGCCTGGGGCAGTGGTTCCTGTGCAGCCCTGGAGAGGAGCGAGAGGGATGTTTTGGGAAACAGGCCTGTCCAGGGTGTCCTGACCCCCTTGCTGCTTCAATGGTGCAATCTAGGGTGGCTTCGTGCAGCTCTGAACTGTGTTGGGTGACTCTTGGAGCATCCAGCCTTCACCCTGGGGTCCCCTCTGCAGGACAAAAGGAAGTGTCTGAGGAGAGGGGAACAGTTGCTGCATCATTTCCAGCTCCAAACAGGGGTGCTCAGCTCCTGGGGATGAAGACAGCCTGCACATGGTCCCCCGCTAGCACCCAGAGCAGGCATTGCAGGTCCTACACAGGGGTGGGCTCCCCGAGCCCTGGCCGGGAGAAGGGTGGGCTCCCACGCGTGCACCGTGGGTCGGTGGGTGGGGAAATGGCACCGACCATGCTGTGCCAGCACGCTCTGCTCCAGGGAGAGCTGTGCCCTGTGGCAGAGGGTGTCCAGCAGCGCTCCCAGCCCCTCTCCCCCTGCTCCCCGGGCTGTAACCTGAGCAGGGGCTCCGTTGCCCGCTGGAGAGGAGCCAGCCCCGGCCAGGCAGGAGAGCAAAGCGCAGGGCTTTTATTACCCTGAGTGACCTCATTTCCCAATGTTCCCCTTTTCTCGCTGTTAATTGCCGCAGGGCTGAGAAGGAACCCTGGGCCCGTCTTCTCAGCCAAATGGGCACCACTTCAACCTTGGGGCTGTCTTTCCGATTTCCTTTAACGAGATGAAATCCTTCGGGCATGAGCTGTGGCAGCTGGTGGCTGCCTCAGCGTGGGGTTCCCAGTCCCTGCCTCGGGGGGGTTCCTGGTCCTGCTGGGAAGGTGCCTGCAGCCTCTCTGCTCTGCCAAAGCTCGGTGCCTGTTGCAAGTTCTGTAAGGATCAAGGGCCGGCACCGGTCCCTGGCGTGCAAGGGGGTGTCTGGTGAGTGGATGTGCGAGCAGTTGCAGTGAGGGGGGTGCCTCAGGGTCCCCCCACTCTGCCCACGCGTCCTGCATCCCACAGCCTGTGCCTTATTGAGCACCAATCCGGGGTTTGCAGGGTGGCACCGAGGTCAGGCAGAGGCAACGCTGGTCTGCCACCCCCCCTGCTGCCTCCTGGAGGGTTTCTCATGGCAGAAGCGATGGAGGGTGACCCTGAGAAAGCAGAGAGGACAGTGTGTCCTACCCAAACGCTCGGCTGGCCAGCCTGACCTGCCCTGTCCCCCGAAACATGTCTGCCCTGGCCTATCCCAGCCCGTAACAGCCTCCTGCGTCTCTTCCAGGGCAAATATGAAGAAAGATTCCTGAAAGATGAAACCATCTCCCAGCAGATCAACTCTGTCGAGTCCCTCTCAGAGCTGCATCTCTCTCCGGAGGACGAGAAGCCCAAGCAGCTCTTGCAGAGGAAGCTGCACGTGAGGAGCCGGCCTCCTTCCAAGCCCACCATCGTCCGAGGGGTCACCTACTACAAAGCCCAGTCCACCGAGTCGGAGAATGACATTGAGGAGCAGCGTGAGTTGAGTTTTCAGCTGTGTCCGGTGGGAGGGATGGCTGCATCCCATAGCAAAGCCAGCATCTGCCCCCGAGTCCTGACTTGTCCCCTGGGAACGTGTGGGCAAAACTCATGGGGTCACCCTGGAAGAGGGCTTGGAGGCAGGAGGAGGTGGGACGATTGGTACCTCAGCGCTGGAAGCAGCGAGGCGGCATCCAGCCTTTGAGCCCTGCGCGGGGGGAGCAGCGCGGTGGTGTTATTCCATGGAAAATCCCTGGTAGCTAAGGAAACCGGTCGCTTCTGGGGTTTAAAACACCCAGCACCAACACCTTTCCAGAAAGTAAACACAAGTTTATTACATGTTAGTCCTGCAGATCCTCCTGCCCCATGGCACCCCGGGAGGTTTGTGCGGTGCCTGGGGCTCGGAGCGGCCGCTGGCTGCCCTGCAGCTCGGCAGGGTGTTGGGGAGAGCGGGGGGGCTGAGCCCCCCCAGGCTTGGCAGCACGGGCAAACAAGGCAGGTGCCCCTTCTCTGCAAAGCCGGCTCGGCAGCGAGGCTGGCCAGCACAGCCGTGCGTGGGTTCGTGGGCTCCTCAGACAAGGGGGAGCAAAGGGCAGCCCCCGTGCCCTGGTGAGGCGCCCGCTTTGGCAGCCCGGGTTAGGCGGGTGGGATCTGCCTGGACGCTGCCGCTGTGTCTCCATCCCGCCTCATCTCTGGGACCTGGCAGGACTGAATCGCTCTCCGTCCCCTCCCTCTCTGCCTGGCCTGAAGTGGGGGATGCAGCTGTGGTGGGGTCTCACTGACCCTCTAACGTGGGCTCCGTCAGCCCTTGAAGCTCACGCAGCCCTTCTCCGGCTGGAAATTAAGAGGGAAACCAGGTGGATTTAGTACGAGACCGTCTGGAGAAGTGGGTAGATGAGGCAGAGTGGTGGGGCGAGCGCAGGGGGGCTGACGCCTGTGCCTGTGTTTGGCAGCGGACGAGCTCTTCAGCGGGGACAACACCGTGGACCTGCTGATCGAGGACCAGCTCCTGAGGCCGAGCAGCAGGGCGGGCGAGGGCGTGAGGAAGCCCTCCCCGGTGGGATGGCCGCCCACCCCTGACAGCGAACCCACCACCCCGCCGGCTGCCGACACTGCTGCGACGGCCACGGTGCCCCTGTCCCCTGCCACGTCCCCGGGGCCCACGCTGGGCCCCACCACTGTGAGCCAGCTGACCCCCATCCCAGAGACCACGACTGCCCCAGTGGGGCTGGTGGAGGAGGGGACCCCGCAGCTACTGGCAGCCTTGGCCAGCACGGTGGTGGCCACAGTCACGAAGAGCTCGCCCACAGCTGCCACCACTGTCCCCAGCCCTGCTGTGGCCACCACCGCTGGGACCTCAAAGGACGTGGGGACAAGCCCTGTCCCAGAGAGCATCCCAGAAGCCTGGGCACAGGTGAGCACCCCAGCGACGCCAGTCAGCCCCACAATCCCCGCCACCCCGAAGCAGGCCCTGGAGGAGGAGGACATCAGGAACATCATCGGTGAGTGCCTGCAGGTCCTGCACCGACCCAGCTGTGCACGTGGGAGCTGGCTAATTCTTGCAGCATATCCTGCTAAGCACAGCACACCTGGATTTGGTCACGGGTGGGAGGTGTCATGGAGACGGTGGCTTGACAGCACTTCGCTGGGGTGTCAGGTTTATTTATTCGTTAACTCTGGAACCTACTGTAGTCTCCTCCCCATTTGAAGGGCTGGGCAGGGCAGAAGGAGGCCTCCCTTGAGATGGACCCGAGACAGGCAGCATCCTCAGCTGGGGCAGGGACATGGCTGAAGTTGTGGGGAGCTGTTAGGATCTGGCTAGTGCTGCTGAGGCCAGGCCAGGGCAGTGAGGGTTCCTGTGGGGTGGGCAATGGGCTGGAGGTAAGGGGGTGATACCCACAGACCCCCAGGAGGAACAGGGAGAGTATGGCTGCCCTGCCTCAGGCCTCACGAGCCTTTCTCTGCCCACGCAGGGCGCTGCAAGGACACGTTGTCCACCATCTCGGGGCCCACCACCCAGAACACCTACGGGCGCAACGAGGGGGCCTGGATGAAGGACCCCCTGGCGCGGGAGGAGCGGATCTACGTCACCAACTACTACTACGGGAACACGCTGGTGGAGTTCAGGAACCTCGACAACTTCAAGCAAGGTGGGCTTGTGCCATTCCTGGTGCTGCGCTGGCCACCGCTCGGCTGGTCCAAGTAGTGTCCCCTGGGATGCTGCACCGTGGGGGGAAGCTCTGCCCTGGGACCCTCCCCTCTGGGGTGCCGGTGCCTGGCGTGTGGGGTTCAGAGCACGGGGCAAGTCAGGCTGCCCATGGTGGCCCTGGCCTTGCTTGTCACCACATCAGGCTGCAGCTGGTGGCCGTGGAGGGGGGGCAGAGGGTGCTGGTGGTGGGACCAGCAACCCCAAAGCAAAGGGAGAGCCATGCCGGCAAGGTGTCTCTGCCCTGCAGGTCGCTGGAGCAACTCCTACAAGCTCCCCTACAGCTGGATTGGGACGGGGCACGTTGTTTACAATGGCTCCTTCTACTACAACCGGGCCTTCACACGCAACATCATCAAATACGACCTGAAGCAGCGGTACGTGGCCGCCTGGGCTATGCTGCACGACGTGGCCTATGAGGAGTCCACCCCGTGGCGGTGGCGAGGCCACTCGGATGTGGACTTCGCCGTGGATGAGAACGGCCTGTGGGTCATCTACCCGGCCATCAGCTACGAGGGCTTCAATCAAGAGGTGATTGTGCTGAGCAAGCTGAACGCGGCCGACCTCAGCACCCAGAAGGAGACCACGTGGCGGACGGGGCTGCGGAAGAACTTCTACGGGAACTGCTTTGTCATCTGTGGGGTCCTGTACGCGGTCGACAGCTACAACAAGAGGAACGCCAACATCTCCTACGCCTTTGACACGCACACCAACACGCAGATCATCCCCCGGCTGCTCTTTGAGAACGAGTACGCCTACACCACGCAGATAGACTATAACCCCAAGGACCGCCTGCTCTACGCCTGGGACAATGGGCACCAAGTCACCTACCACGTCATCTTTGCCTACTGAGACCGCCCTGCCACAGTGGGACACTGCAAGCCAGAGGCCACCAGCACCTTTTATTATTATTTTTATTGTTATTATTGTTATTTTGTACAAATCAAAGAGTAAATGATGGGTTTTGTTTCAAGCTGTTTTTTTTTTTTTTTTTTTTCTTTTTTATGGCGGATTGTAGATCAATCCCCAGGCTGGAACCACCCCCTTCGTCTTTGCTGTAACCTTGCTTCTGATTTTCCTTCCCTGGAGGAGGATGATCTCCTTTGGGAGGGCAGACCCAGCTCTCCTTCCCCGGGGAGGAGGATGTGGCCCAGACGTGGTCTTCCTGGTGCGGTTTTTAACTGAAGCTGATCAGCGGGAGCCCCAGCACCGGTGTGAATGAAGCTGGCCTTTCTGCTGCAGGCACCAGGTCCCGGCGGGGTGCTGAATGTCTGCCTGTCCCAGGGGAGGACGTGCACGTCCCATGGGAATGTCCCATCTCTCGGGACCTTCTTCCCGGCCGCTGGCCAGCAGGCCCTTTGGAGATCCTGCTGTAGAACGGGGCTGCGAGCGCCGCTCCGGCAGCCCCCGGTGCTGGCACTTACGCCGAGGACTGTCCCCTCTGGCCGGGGCTCTGCCCTTTGCAACCTGCTTTGGGGGGGCCAGGCACGCCTTAAGCCCTGACTCACGTCTGCACCCAGCTGGCGGCGGCGGGGGGGATGCTGTAAATAGGTGTAGATGGCTTTTGTTTGTTCATTTTTGTAACCCAAAATAGTCCCCTTTTTGGCATTTGCTGGGCGAAGGCTCTGCTCGGCCGGGTGCTGGGCTGCCTGGGTGGGGAGCTGCGGGGCTGGGGGAGCCCGGGAAGGGCTGGGGGAGCCCTTGCTCCCCGTTCCACTGCCGCTCCGTCTCCCGTGGGGTCTCAGCCCGTGTGCCCTCCCGTGGCCACGCTCGCCCCGGTCCCGGGTGTTGGCCCTCGGGAGCCCCCGCAGAGGCACAGCCCCTGCCCTTCTGCGCGGCAGCATCTTGTATTTACCTGCTGTCAACAATAAAAGATCAAGTACCTTTGCAGCTGTTTGGGATTTTCTTTGGGTCTGGTTTCCCCCTCTGGGTGCATGGAAAGGCACGGTGGTTTTTTTTGCAGTTTTCTTTTTTTGGGGGTTGGTTCAGGGTGTGCCAGTTTACACACCAAGAAGCAGTCAAGGCTGGAAGGGACCTCTGGGCTGCTCCAGCCCTGAGGAGAGCTCGGCTCTGGCTTGCCTGCCGTTGTCCTCATGTTGCCAGCAGCTGGGGTGAGACCCCCTTCAGGCTCTGGGTGAGCAGGTCATGGTGGGTGCCCCCTCCCCAGGAGCAGGGAGGGGTCTGGGTGCGGGTGCCTTGGCCAGTGCCAGCGTTGGGCTGAGCAGAGCCACCCTGCAGCCCAAGAGACAGCAGAGACGGTGCTGGCTGCCTACTCGTTTGCTTAAGTAAAACAGGATTAACAAGCAAAATAATAATAAATAAAAGAGCCATTTTATTGCCTTCAGTGCTAGGGACACGGAGAACAAACCTACACGGGACAAGAGGCGCAGTCCCCCACGGGTGCCAGCTGAGGATGCGGTGCTGTGGCAGTCCCCCAGCCCCTGGCAGCCCTTTTCCCACGGACCGGGCTGTGCCGAGCTCAGCCACCATCGCCGGGTCCCCCCCCCCCCCAAGCAGCGATCAGCCCCCCCCAGCAGCCATCAGCCCCCCCCAGCAGCCATCAGCCCCCCCCAGCAGCCGGCTGCCCCTGCCCCGGGGCTGTGGGGGAGCTGCGTGCCTCTGGCTGGGGCACCGCCGGGGTTTTTATTTTTGACTATTGTGTGAGCTGGCCCACAGTCAGGTGGGGCTGGGGCCAGGAAAACGAACTGGTGCAAGGAGTGCAGCCAAACCCCTCGCCGAGCCCGGCTGCTTCCCAGCAGCGCGAGTGCCGAGGGGACGGGGGGCCTGTGCAGCTCACGCTGACTACGTGGCAAAGGGCAAAGCTTTTCCATAGTGTTGCAAGGCACATACTTTACAGGGGTGTATTGCTCCTCACCCTCCTCCTCCTCCTCGCCTCCCCCGAGCTGTTTGTCTTGCTGCAGGATCGACCTCTATTTCCTAACAGCCACACATACAAATAATAATAATAATAATAATAATAATAATAATAAACAAATCAGTCAGTCAGTGGTGCAGACAACGAAGGAAAGGCAGTTGGCTGGCAAACTGAAGGCCATCTTCTGTGCTAACTGCAAAGGGGAAAAAAAAATAATGTAACATGCTGAAGTCATTACGAAAGGCCGATGCTCTGCTGGCGTCTCATCCCAGCTGAGCACCGCAGTGCACTGTGCAACTGGGACCAGTCACCAGAGCTCTGCAGCGAGCTTTGTAAAGGCACCAGTCGACCACGGCAAGAGCCACGGTTAGGAGCTCAGTGCGTGAGGGGTGGCTGTCAGTGCTGGCACGGCAGAGAAGGGGGGGGGTTGTGCGTGCATGTACGTGTGCCTGTTTGTGTGTTTCAGGAGGAAGGTGCTGCAGCTGTGTCCCACTCAAATGAAGCAGCTCGCCTGCCCTGGCAGGGCCAGTGCTGCTCTGTAGGCTGTTAGCTGTGAAAAGCATTAAATATCACGCAAAAAAAACAAAAAACAACCCTCAACAAAACCCAAAACAAAATACAGATGGAAAAACAAAACAAAAACCCCAAAAAACACCACCCCCTCCAAAATACAGCAGTACAATGTTTAGAAATGCATGTGCTGCACTAAATCACCACCCTTGTGCACGCAGGTGGCAGGGGTGGGGGGGGCTGTGTGTGTACGTACACTGCCTGGGAGGGCACCCAGGCCCCATCCCACCCGGGCACCCTGCTCATTGCAGGGGAGTGGGGGTCCAACCGAGGCACCCCCCTGGCAGGGTGACCCCCCGGGAGCGGGGGCTGTGCTCTGTGGCAGTGGGGGCCGTGCTGCTCACAGTGCTTCGGCTGTTACGTGGGGGTTCCCACCGCCCCGCTGGGGCTGGGCTGCCCCATGGCACCGCTGCAAGGAGCCAGCACGGGCAGGGATTTGGGGCAGGCGTGTGGGTGTGACAAGGAGCCAGGCCCAGCACGGAGGGGTGTTCTTGCTCCCGGGGTGCAGGGCTGGGGTTGCAGGGGCCACGGCTCTCCCTGCACCCGCAGCTGGGAGCCGGGCACCGCGTCCTGCGGCCCCGAGCACGGGCCTCCACAGTGGTGCCTCTGGCCAGGCCCCCAGCTGCTCAGCACCCCGCCTCAGGTTTAACAGGGGCAAAACGGAAACAAACCAAAACAAAACAACCAAAACAAAAACAAACAAACAAAAAATACCCCAGACAACAAACCAACCCACGATTTTGGACAGTGCATAAGTAGCAAGGACGGCCCATGCCCTGCCGCCACCCCCCGCCAGCCCTGGGTACCAGGACTGCAGCAGCACGCCTCACCCCGCACCCTTGGCACCAGGCATCGCCCACGGCATGGCCCCCCCGGCCCCCCCCCCAGGGCTGTCCCTGGCGAGGGGCCGGCTGAGCTGTGTAATCCCTGCGCAGGATGTGGCCGTGGGGCAGGGTCCGGCGCAGGACCGGGCTAAGCGGGGGCTGCCCTTGCTGTGCCAGGAGCCCCAGGGACCGGCCAGCCAAGGGGCTCAGTCCGGCAGCAGGCCCTGCCGCCCCGCAGGAGCTACCGCAGGGATTTGATGATGGCCCTGAGGGCATGGGGCGTCTCGGGGACGGAGGGAGAGGCGCTGTAGAAGGGGTCGGTGTGGTTCCTGCGCTGCTCTCGGAGGTACGGAGGGACGGAGGAACTTTTGATGTGGAGGATCCTGGTGTCCATCACTTCGCAGTCGATCTGCATCATCACTTCGTAGTCCTGCCCATTGATCACATTCTCTGCAAAGGTAAGAAGAAAAGAAGTTAGCCCTGCAAGCTAGTGACCCAACAGCACCAAAAGAGAGGCTCCTGGACCTTTTTGTGGTCTGGAGCAGGAGCTGGGGCAGGGGGAACCCCTTCCCTTTTGCAGCTCCACACATGGAGCTCTAGCTCACACAGCGCAGCCCACCTCATGACACCTCAAAGGGCCCAGGTCACACCTAGAAATTAATGTCTTTCTTTTTCCCCTTCTTCATCTGAACATAATTACCGATGGAGTTGGTTGTGTAACATTTATTACTGAACTGTTGTTCTTGATTCACTAAAGCACGATTGAAGAAAGGGCTTATTTAAGCAAGCTGAATGTTTCACTTTCTTTTTATTGGTTTAAGAACACTGTAACCCTCTTGACACCGAGAATCTAGAGGAAGGAATATCTTCACCGGATTATCAATTGGAAAAAAAAAAAAAAAAAAGCCAAAAAGCTGTCTCTTGAAAGAATTAACTGCACCTCATTACCACGCTGACATGGCTGTTGTACTTGCTTGACGTTGTGGTGTGACACTGGACAAAGCCTCCGGACACGGGGAGACCCAGGCCGGCACAGGGGACCCCGGCTGCATCACCCCGGCGCGGGCACGGCTGCTGCCGCAGAAGCTCCTGGGCTTGCAGGCAGAGGCCGCGCACATGGCCAGCATCTGCTGCCTGGATTTAAAGGTGGGAGACTACTCCCTGCATAGACAGTGTGTCCAGGAATGTGAGAGCCGAGATCGGATTTCCAGGCACAACCAATCCTTGCCTTTCAGAGTCAAAAATGCTGACTGCCATCGGCAGGGTCTTCTTTCTGTGCTAAGGAGGATGGAAGATCACCTAATGGAAAGCGTATGGGTTGGAGGAATGCAATATACATTACTAATTTTTACTGTTTTCCTGGATTAACTCTGACTCTGGATGACAGCTGACAACTGCGGCCGAACCCTCCTGTACCCCACGCCACCTGTAGAAGCCATTAGATCAAATATGTCTGCTATAGTAATGAAAAGCAGGAGCAAACCCTTGCGAAGGGGGCTGAGAGCCTGCAAGGGAAATCAAAGCTCCCACCTGCAGAAATGAAATGGAAAAGCTCCTTATGTGCCACCGAGCGACCGAGGCCAGGAGCAGCTGTGCATGTCTCTGTGCTGCTGAGCCGAACACCCTGACAAGCGCCTCGTCCCTCCTGGCTGCAGTGCTGCTGATAAAGCCCTGCCGTGGCTTCGGGTGCGTGCTCCCAGCTGGGACCCTTTCTGAGGCCATCCCTCCAGGTCACCCCTTTTCTCACCCTTTGGATGTTCTTGGTTCTCACCCGATAGGCTCAGGACCGGCCGGCGGGAGGGGGGCTGGGCTGATGGTGCTGCTCGGGACAGGGGCTGCACGGGGCAGCTGGGGGCACAAGGAGGAGCTGGGGTGGGGAAGAGCCCAGCTTTTGAGGTGGAGAGAGCAAACGAGACCAGATCAGCTCCCTGCGACACCGCAAGCTGAAAAGGCAGCTCCTCAGCTCTCACGTTGCAAAGACGACAGCTCGACAGGCTCCTGGGCATGGGAGAAAATGTGCTCCAAAGCCACAAGTGGGGGAGGTGGGATGGGAGAGTGGCCAGGGCCAGGAAAACCTCTCGGTGAGCGGTCAGCCTTTCCTGCATCTGCCCGCAGCAGCCAGCACAGCGGGCCATCATGAGGTTCCCTGGCACTGCACAACCCGGAGGGGAACAGCGATCCCGGAGAGCAGCCCATGCGCGGGGTGGGTGGCAGCGGGCGGCACGGGAACCAGAGCAGTCCACCTCGGCCAGCCAGGAACCCGCTTCTCCCAGCGCTGACACACGCTCCCCCCGTGACTAAGCGGACCATGATTAAGCCACAGCTCTGCTACCCTGTGCAAGAGGTGCTGTGGCTTCTGAGGCCACCACGGCTGAGATAGCTGGGAGGAATCACACTCACAACGAGCCTTTCTGGTCAGCAGGCATGGAGGGGCCCCACGCACCCAAATCAGACATTCACGAAGTGCCTGAATCCTCCCTATGTCTGTGAATTAGCCCAGGAGTGACAATCAGGTTTAAAGACAGGTATCTGATTCTTTCCCCTTTTGGGTTGAAGGTGTTGATGAAGTACTGCTGCAGGGAGCCTCTGCAAAGGGTCTCATCTCCCAGGGATGAGGACAG